ACGTCAGCGAAAGTACTGTATAGTGGTAAATAATTAATTGAACTACGCGCATATTAACCCTTTGCTGGCATTTGTACGATATATCGTACAAATTTTTTGCAACTTTTGACAATTTTTTATTTTTTATTAGAATGTTGCCACATGTCGAAAAGTGCATCTCATATTCAAAAGATCTTTTATCTTTTTAAAACAAAAGCTTTCAAAAATTGAAACAAAACGATTTTTTATAAATTTGCATTTTTAGTAGCATCTTTGCACACTGAGCTACAGCCAGACATATAAATGTGATTTCAAATGTTAAATTTCAATCAACACTACAGCACGCGGTTCGTGCCCAAAAGTCTTGTTAATCAGCTTTACATAACCTTGTGACAAAGATCGGGGCTGGTAGGAAGGAGGCGGCTACATAATGGGTGAATCTAAATCGAGCACTGAATATTTTCGGAGAGTGTCGCGAACATTTAGTTAGACGTATGGTCAGGGGCCGTCTATGATGCTTTGGGAATAGATTACTTTATTCATACTGGTTGTTAGGTAATTTGTTGCAGTTTGGTTGAGAGGACCATTCTTTAAATCACAGCATCTATATTAAACGGGCTACAAAGGAGTGTAAAGAGAAATGTTACGAGTGCCATGAGAAAAACGTCAGTTTTTCGCTTTGTTGAATTTTCTACCTCTGGGTTTAGCGATATAAGAAAAAGCACTTAAAAAACAGTGTTGATCGGAGTTGCAGGCAGACTGAGACATTTAGAAGACTGTCAGAGCAGTATGCTTTATTATTGGCACCTAATGACAAACTGATACCTAGAATCTCTTGTGGAGGGAAATATGTCGCTATCTTACTTACAAGAAATCAATGGATAGGTCCAGACACTTACTTGGGGAGCTCGAAAAAACTTCCCATACTACGGCCCCTGGAAATGAAAATGGAGCTCGAGCTGGATGGCATTTGTTGAGTAACTTCGGATGCTTTATTCTTCTTCTTCCTTTTTGGCGCTGTAAAACCGCCTAAGCGATTTTGGCCGAGTTCAGCAAAGCACGCCAGTCGTTTCTTCTCTGTGCCAGATGACGCCAATTGGAAACGCCAAGTGAAGCCAAGTCCTTCTCCACCTGATCTTTCCATCGCAGTGGGGGCTTCCCTCTTCCTCTGCTACCACCAGCGGGTTCCGAGTTGAATACTTTCAGAGCTGGAGCGTCGGTGTCCATTCGAACGACATGACCAAGCCTGCGGAGCCGCTGTATTTTAATTCGCTGCACTATGTCCATATCGTTGTAAAGCTCATACAGCTCGTCGTTCCATCGTCTGCGGTACTCGCCGTCGCCAACGCGTTAAGGCCGTAGATATTCCGCAAAATCTTTCTCTCAAACACTCCAAGAGCCGCCTCATCGGATGTTGTCATTGTCCATGCTTCTGTGTTAATCTTATCGGTGTTAATGCTGGTTCCCAAGTAAACGAAATTCTCTACTTTCTCCAAATTGTACCTGTCAACACTGACGTGGGTGCCAAGGCGTGAATGTGCTGACTGTTTCTTTGATGACAGGAGATACTTCGTTTTGTCCTCGTTTACCTCCAGACCCATTCGCTTTGCTTCCCTGTCCAACTTGGAAAAGCCAGGATAGACTTCGCGGTTTTTCTTACCGATGATGTCGATGTCATCGGCATAAGCCAGCAATTGTACGCTCTTGTAGTAAATTGTTCCTGAGCGGTGCAGTTCTGCAGCTCTTTTTATATTATCCATCATCAGATTAAAGAAGTCACATGAAAGGGAGTCGCCCTGTCTGAAACCACGTTTTGTAGCGATCTGCTCGGAGAGGTCTTTCCCAATTCTGACGGAGCTAGTGGATGCTTTATTACTTTGGCAATAATGACAAGGGCCTGCAAATGAGAAGTCTTAGTAATACTTTAAGTACCAGACTGGATAGTTGGCTAAAGATTGCGTGAGCACGAATTCAGGGTTAGACAGGCTCCTTCGCAAGAAGGACCGAACTCTGGTGCATGGTAGAAGGAGCTTAAATTTGTGTCGGTATCAGAACACTGTAATATGTAAGACACCTGCCTTTCCCTTTATTTTAAATCCTATTTATAAGTATTGAGTGCAATGAAAAATTAAATGACGTGAGCCATAAATGAGACGAGTAGCTCCGCCAAATACATGGACAATTTTTCTTTTAGCGCAAATAAAGTATAAACATACAGTTTAATTCCTGCGAGATGACGATATTATTAATCCAATTAAACTCGAAAAAAACATTCCAGTTCATGATCGCTGCGTGGTTCAGGATGATCATCTCAAACTCATAAGAAACTTTTCTTGCCCTGTTCTTAAATATTTAAGCTTTTGCTGTACATAAGTATAACTACCTAGATACATTGTTGCAAGAACATTTTACTCCGTATTGACCACTGTACATTTGCGATTGGATATACTTGGAACATTTTCATAATCTCCGCTAGGCTCAATGGAGCAATCAATACCCGTCGTACATAAAAATGGAATATCGCTGACTTTAACAAGCTCAGCTAATCTCCTGTGCAAAGTTATACAAGTAGAACTCGACAACCACTTCCTTCTCACTTATTTATGGAGAGTACAGAGCGATCGGTGGACCGGTCTTTGAGCTGCGGCTAGTAATTTGGTACTAGTCTTGATGAGTGCTTCTGCTTTGTTGTTTCGTTGTTGTGAACTTTTTAAAAAGCTCCAATCTACCTGTCGGCGCAAGTGCGATCAGGGAAGAGCTAAGGAGAGGACCAATAAGATTGATTGACCAACAATTGCAAAGCACCACTGGACTTCGACAAGCCAAAAGCTTAATAAAATATTACATTCGGAAGAGATAAAGGCTCTTTAAGAAACTGCCTACGAATGCGCAAAGTACATTAATTTTGCTTTATTATGGTAATTTTTGGCCGTCCTACACATATTGTCCACCATATCGGCTTGTGTCATCATCTTTACTTGGAAAAACTAGTCTACTTTCTAACTACCAAAAAAAAAGTTAACAAAGCATTGATTAATTTTTGAGGGGAAGTAAGAATATGAATTAAACGCAACCAATGCTTGGTCTTTTAATCTCAATTCAGTATTCAGTATAACTATAGAGTGGTTTCCGTTGATCGTTAGGTGCCTTAATTTACTAAAACGAAATCAAACAGCAACCAAGAAAACCATGCTTGAGGATACAAATTGTAATCGAAATGCCGACTTGAAGTAGTAGTAGTGGTACACCTGCCAATTGTTATGGTCGAGGTAGTGGAAGTTGTT